GGGAGTCATATGATGAGAGGTATCAGAGTCAAAAATCTAAACAGACGAAGAAATACCTAAAGAAGACCCAAGCAAACTTGAATGAAAAGAGGAAACAATGGCGGCAGCCGGGGATGGCTGGGAGGTAGACAATATATGTTGAAGTTGACTAATTTAAGCAATCAAGGAAGCCAAGTCAGGATCTGGAGCCGGAGTAGATGCAGTATACATAGCAGGAGGAGCCCATAAGTGGTTCTGAGATCGCTGAAAAGATGAGGCAGACAGATGTCCCTTCTTGGGACAGTGGTACTTCTAATGGCCCCTCTGATGGCAGAAGGCACACTCTTCAAAAGCCTGAGACATTGTAATAACCAGAAAACTGAGGGGTTCCCGTGCAATCAAACAAAGTAGCCAAACAAGGGGTTTAAGTGTAATAATCGAAATTTGAGGGGTTAAACTATAATAATAAGGAACTTGTTAATTTCAGAACCAAGTGGATCAACTTCGAACCACACAAAGAGAAAGAAAGAGAGAGACAAGAGTCGAAGTCGACTTTTGAGCGGCCGGCACAGTGCAAAGGGTCTAAATCGAAGCCGATCAAGAGGAACAAGGACAGACAGCTCTTCGATCATGCGAATCGAAGCAGGAGAGAACCAACGATGACGACGACTCAACTTCACGAGTTCAGTGACAGATCACGAACTAGAGGCTAGGGTTTTCGCGAATGACCTGTGAAATAGAGAACCTAAGAGACGAACTAGATGACCAGACGAAGGACAACTTGGGACCTTCGCTCAAACCAGACAAACACAGAAGAAGAAGAGGGAGTCACGACTTGTGACTCAGAGAAATAAAACCAGAGTGTTGATTTCCGAGAGACAATGGACAGCTTCTAGGGTTTCGGTTCAGAGTGGCTCTGATACCATGTAAGCTTTCTTAATGTTTTCTGTATATTCAACTTGTCATCTTAATACAAGAATACATTGGTTTATATAACAATCTAACCCTAGAACAAAAAATGGAAATACGACTTATTTCAATATACAAAATATATATACTACCATTTATACATAAAATCCCTAATATATTCTCACACTTGCATCCAGGTGACTTGCTGTCTATCCTTGTCTCTGATATAAACTTTGTATGCTTCCTTTTTCTCAACTACTGCTGGCTCATCATCCTCTATCTGATCAACCATTGGCGGAAGTGGAACAGGAATCTCTTCACACCAAGGCACCCCTTGAAGGGATGACTGGGAGATTGGGAGGGTCGGAAAGTAAGGCTAAGACTCAAAGAAAGCGACATTCAAGGAGACAAACCATTTGTGAGTGGGAGGATGATTACACTTATAACCCTTTTTGGTGGCAGAATAACCCAGAAAAATACACTTAACAGACCTAAGATCCAATTTACCACGAATGGGTGAATGATTATAGACAAAGCAAACACAGCCACAAGTTTTAGGAGGAATGGAGAATCCGGAAGGGGTAGACCCGAACAAAACTTGAAGAGGTGTTTGTTTTTGAGGGGTAGCCCGGTGGTGTTTGTTTTTAAAATAAGCGGCAGTGAGAACCGCTTCCCCCCAATAGGATCGAGGAACCTGCATCTCAAAGGATAGACAATGGGCGACATCAAGAAGTTGGCGATTTTTGCGTTCGGTAACACCATTTTGTTGAGGTGTATTAGTGCATGAAGTCTGGTGAATAATGCCATGAGTGACGAAGTAAGTTGCAAGACCAGAGTCAATATATTTCCCCCCATTATCAGAATGTAGAATTTTGATAATCCCCCCAAACTGAGTACAAACCATTTTATGGAAGTTTTGAAACACAGAAAATACCTCACTTTTGTCTTTCATCAAACAGACCCAAGTGGCCTTGGAACAATCATCTATGAAGGTAACAAACTATTTTTGACCGGTTAAAGACACAAAACAGGATGGACCCCATACATCATAATGAATCAAAGAAAATGGTACTAAACTTTTATTAATAAAAGGAGCAAAAGAGGTTTTGTGTTGTTTTCCAAATTGACAAGACTCACATTGAAAATCTGACACATTATTTTTCTCAAAAACAAAAAGAGGGATGTCCTAAGCGACGATGCCATAGCCAAATGTCTTCCTTGGTGGAGGGTAACTGAATAGATGAATGAGTCAGCCTGTCTGTCTGTCTGATCCAGAATGTAGAGTCCATGTTCCTCTCTATCACTGCCAATCCTCTTCCTCGTGATAAGGTCCTGAAAAAGACAATGATCAGGAAAAAAAACATTACGCTACAATTTAAGTCACGGGTAATACAACTCAAAGATAAAAGATTACCCTGAAATTGGGAACATAGAGGACAGAAGACAAAAGAAGGGAAGAGGTGGCATGAATTAAACCTTTCTCTGACACAGACGAAATGGTACCATCAGCAATACGCAATTTTTCTTGACCTGAGGAGGGGTTATACTTTGAAAATAAATTAGAGGAGCCAAACATATGGTCGGAAGCACCAGAATCAATAATCCATGGGACAGTCGTATGAGATAGCAATGCACATGTAGAGGAAGTCAAGTTACTTGAATTGGCAAAGGAAGAAGAGGGTGCAGTTGTAGCAGAAGTAGAGGCTCAACGATCTAGCAAGTGGCGAAGAACAATCTCAAAATCCGAGGCAGAGAACCCTGAGACATCAGTAGCGGAGGAGACAACTGGAGATGCAGATGGTGGCTTAACAGTGTTTGAAAGATGGGCTTGTGCATTGGCTCCGCGGCCTTGAGTACCAAACCGACCGCCTCGAGGGCCAGGACGGTCACCTCGGCCACCAGAGGGAGTTCCATGTAGCTTTCAACAAGTCTTACGTGTGTGGCGAGGTCAACGACAATAGTCACAGTAAAGATTATCCTTCTTAGAGGAAGGATGAGAACCACGAGGCACGCAATCACCATCGCTAGAGGGTGCAGAAACCAAGGCCGAGCGATCAGTAGTAGCAAAGGAAGTATCGCAGAACGGCGACTCTCCTCATTCCGCACAAAAGTAAAGGCTTCCTGGAGAGAAGGAAGCACATCCATGCTAAGTACTCTACTCCGAACCGGATCATACTCCACATTTAGGCCTTCCAAGAACTTGAAGACCCGCTTTTGCGCCACAAACTTCCGATAACCAGCAGAATCAGTGGGATAGACAGGCTTGTAATCTTGAAGGTGATCAAGTCGCTTCCACTCATTGCTAAGGAAGGTAAAATACTGAAGGATAGTCTACTCACCTTGTACTGACCTTTCAATGGAGCGACGTAACTCGAAAGTTTGTTAGAAGTTACCCTTCTTGGAGTAAGTAGTTGCTACGGCCTCCCAAATATCCTGGGCAGTGTCCATAGATAAGTAGCCCTCTCCAATCTTTGGAACCATAGAATGGATCAACTAGTCTATAATCAGAGAATTAGTGATCTCCCACTGGTCATAATAAGGGTCGGTGATACTAGGTGTCTAAACTCGCCCATCAACATATCCCATCTTCCCCTTACTCTTTAAGAAAATAGTCAAACTCTGCGACCACGCTAGGTAATTCTGACCATTGAATAGAGAGGTGGTGATTTTAAGGCCAGTGTGGAGGTTATCAATCATAGTGGAAGGGATAACAAAACTCTCACCCTGAGATGGCTGAGAGGTAGTAGATTCACTGGTCAAATCCGCCATGGAGACTCTACTAATTATTCCTCAAACACGATGCCAATCACAAACCCGGAAGATGAGAGTGGGGTAACAAGCACAACAGTAACAATAAAACTATAAAAGCATAAAGGAGGGAGAATCCAGTGTGGTTTTGTTTCTGGACTGTTTTTACATCACCAGAGTGTTTTTTTTTTTTTGGGTCTGCTTCATTACTGTTTATAATTGTTTATAACATCAGGCGACTGTGTATAACATCACCAGAAGACTAAGTAAGAGACGTATTACATCACCAGAGGACTTCGAAGGGCAGCGACCACCTCAGGCGAGACTGCGAAGAGTAGCGACCACTCTAGTCGACCCTAGAGGGCCAGACGACTTCGACCAGACCAGCAAGAAGGCTGGTTGGCCCCCTGGGAACCCTCAGTAGTGGCTGGAGAGGCCTACCAGGGGAGAGAGAAGCCTGGGTGATGGTTGTCGAAGGGAGAGAAGGGACGGAGAGACCTGGGTAGAGGTTGTTAGGGTTAGACGAGGCTAGGAGACTTGTTTGGGGCTGTCGTCTGGTTTATAGGAGAGAGGAGATCACCTGTAGTGATGGGTAACAGAGAAGGAGAGTTGGCTAGGGCATGGCTCTGATCCCATGAAGATTTAGAGAAGAGAAAGAGTTAGGGAATGAGTTAGACTTCATTCCTTTTTATATTAATAATACTAAGTAATTACAGGAGTGCCATAAGGCATAATATATGGGCCAGCCCATTACACCAATCAAGGGAATAAATAAGAAGAAAAAACAATCACATATTTCCTATTCTAACTTGTTTCCTATTCTAACAGCTTCAATAACTCTTTTTCCTTAACTCTGTTTCCCTCTCCCCGTGTGTATATAGAGGCTGAGAGGAAGAGAAGAAAAAAAGACAATGGCAACACAAAGTGTGTGTTTGTGTATTATGAGTCAGAGAGGGTGCTATAGAGAGAGTGAGATGTGAGTAATCTCTTGTGTTATTGTTTGTGATTGCTTATTGGTGTGCCAAACAGATTACCTGATCTTAACATTAGTTAGGTTAGGATAATCAGTGTTGAGGAAGGGCCCACCTTTCCCAATATTTCCCCAAAATGGATTTGTTAGGCTAACCAGTCTCACTTGCCTAGGATTTTGAGGCAACTGAGGTAGGTAGCCATCACTTGACCATGTACTAGTTAATGAATCATTGAGGAATAAACACCTCCTGTAATTTTGCTTCAACCACTGGGTGCTTAATATCTTGTCTTGCTTTTTATCATGAGTCACAGGATTCCCTTGAAATGCCCCTTGGATCTAACCACAATATAACAAGAACAAATTTCCTCAATTTGAATGTTATTGTAAGCAGATGATCAGCTTGTTTCTTTGGCTTGGTCTCATGCAATAAGGGTCAGAAACAGCCTTAGTGAGGATATGAGGTTCAAGTTGAAGAAGATAGAACCAGGGGAAGAACAAAAAGAGCACATGTTTCTGTGAGGAAAACATGGTGATCATGAGACGTGAGCCTAGGTAAATCAAATGGATGAGGAAAAATCCACATACTAATTTTTTGTTGAGTTACAGCTTCAAATACTCCTTAGTATACCCAGACTTGTATTTCTGATTGATAACTTTTATGCAGAAACTAGGTTGCCCTTGGGTTTCTTGTTAGTATATGGCAACCAATTCCAAGTGGAATGCATGTTCAATGAAATGTGGTGTTAGATGGGATCTTTAAGGAATTTGCTATTAATACGTGCCATCCAAAGGTCAGGAGAACTAGGTTTTGGCACTGATTGATTACAAGCATTAGTAATGGGGAATTGTTCCCTTTTTTGTTTACAATTTAGTTTTTATCAGTCTTTAATTGATGGATCTTCTAGCATGTAATTATCTAAGATTGTTACTTTTCCTGCTTTGTAAAATTATGGGCTTACGCTGATGTTGCTTCTTGCACTGGAAATACCTCTCTAATTTGCTTTTTGTACAAATATGCTGTTTGTAGTGTGGGTAAAGGCGATGGTCATTCGGTCTCAAGAAGATGGATGTCAATGAAAGCAATTCTCATTCTCATGAAAGCAAGCATTCAATAGGTTCGGAAAATGGAAAGGAAGACAAGAAATCCACTGAAAAGGATATTCATGATCCTGTCTTCATAAACCATGGTTTGTCCCATGAAATCAATGGAAGCAATTCTCATTCCCATGAAATCAAGCCTTCAAGAGATTCCAAGAATCGAAATGAAGGAAAGAAATCCACTGAAAAGGATAGTCATGATCTTGTCTTTATAAACCATGGTTTGTCCCTCGTAAAATCTCTATTTGTTTCCCCTTATATACTCTTTTTGGTTGTTCATAATATCTTGAAACCCAATACGTTTCTTCACAACTACAGCCAGCCTTCCATCATACAAATGACCTATTTGTCATATTTAGAAGGATTCTGGGCAGTAATGAAAACTTGGATTTCACTTTAGTTTTGAACAGTTCATACTTAATTTACATTAAACCTTACATGCACAACAGTCTCATGCTGGACCTGTATTTTTATTTTTTTAATAATTCATACTGGACCTTCTTTAGGGCAAGATTCTTTGATTTTGGAATTAGGGTCTGATTTCTATGTCAGCATCTTCATATCCCATCAAATCTGTGATTTTCAGTGATTGTCTGTAGCTCTGTGCTGCATTAGATTCTACTCACCATGCTCATATTGTTTAGCACATCATTTTCCCTATTTCTAATCCTTTGTCTCATGAGTTCTCTCTATCATTACTGAGAAATCAGCTTTCAATAATGACAGTCCTATGGAAGAGATTGAAATTTGTAAAATGTTGTCTTAAAACTTTAGTTCTGAGTTGTTATATTTTGTAATTTTTCTCTGCATATTCTAAAATACTACAAATGCTATGGTAAGCTCGATAGATAAGTACTTATTCTTATTGTTATATAATATATATCCTGGAAGTGATGAATTATGGGGGCCATTTGTGGAATCTAAAATTTGGCAAGCTAATTTTTAAGATGGTGGGAGTGGTGACCTCAACTCCATCAATCCTAGCTATCAATCCCATACTGGCCAGCATGCTGTGTTTGCCATATGTTCAAGCCTGGTTCGGTGTTTTCTGCACTGTTTACAATGAAAGGCAAACAGTCTGGTATGCACTAGAACAGCCTTGAATGACTTGTAAATTGGCTGAAATAGCCCGGTACTGGCTGCTACGTCTGGGACAGCCTGAAAAATTATCCGGAATGGAATTGGTTCTTCTTTGTACCATTTTCTTGCCGTAAATATGTAACGGGATTGACAGTGATGATGATTAAAAGCACATAGATAGAGAAGTTCAAGTGGTATAAAAGATGCATAAGTTTGTAATATCAGGCAAAAAATTCATGATGATATCCTTTATGCTTTAAAATTTGCTACCCTGGTTGGTTTGCTTGAATGGAGGAGGGTAATTTGTGGGCATAGTATTTTCTAATTGAGAAGCTGGAAGCTTCTTTTACTTTCATTTTATTTATTCACTACTTTATTATTTTTATTGATAGTCCTATTGTCCCTGAATCCTGATACAGGAGCATCACATCTATACTTCTAATAACCATTCATTTCATGTTGCTAGATAACAAGATGGATACAAGTTTATTCAACAATACACAAGGACATTAATAAAATTTTAGCTCCATATTTGAAAGAAACTATCTTAAATTAAGCCACAATGGTGTATTATTAATGCCAAGGATGAGGTGTGCATGGTAGTGATGGTGTTAATAGTATGGCTTTAAAGTATTAGGGAAACTTCTTCAAGCCAACAATGTAGGATTGCCCTAGTTATGAAGTCAGGCTATATGGCATCTCTTCAGAAAATGTATTTGTATTTGTGCCATAGAAATGAGAAGACTCTGAAACCGTTTTCCATACCACCATTTTCCTTTTTCTCTTTTGATCAGTATATAACTTTGGATTTAGGATTTAGCACAAGTATTCTCTCTCTGTCTCTCTCGCTTTCTCTGTGTGTGTGTTTGAAAATGAGTAATCTTGTTCTGAAAATAGTGTGGATGGCCTTACCATGCAGCTGAGTTAGCTTGGCACCAGAGCAGAAAAGCATGGATTGGTGATCGATCTCGTGAATCTCAAAGAGTGCCTAGGGAACCAATTATGAGGTATGTGCTTCATTTGACCTTTTCCAAATTTTTACTGGTATGTTAGTGATATAAAAAACAAGGGCATCAATTTATTGGCAATGGTTAATTTAAACCTTTTGATGTTTTTAAATTCCTACAGATATTTGGTGATCAGATATCTAGCAATAATTTTGAACTGAATTTTGCTGGGAATTTTGTACTTTCTAGTGGTTGGTTGCTGGAACGTTAATCTCAGCAGAATAATATGGTGAATGAATACATTTTGAATCCCTTTTCGGGCTTGGAAGAATGAATATATATATTTGGAGTAGAATGAATTATATCTTTAAAAGTAGATTTTATATTGAATTGAGAATGTCTGGGGTTCCTATTTTTTTTCTTTATTAGTAAAAACATTTAATTAAAGAAGTGCCTAGGGGACAAAGCTCATGTACACCTGTATAAAGAGAAGCTATACTCCATAAAACTCTGTACTCCATTTTATCCGCAAAATCTGAAAAAACAATCGAGCAAATGGCCATCTCCTTTCGATGGGTTTAACGATATAAATAGATCTTGAGTGGAACTTATTTTCAAATCAGGAAAAAAAGTTCTCACCTTGTTGGAGGAATTAGAAGTGTCTGCTTGGTATGATGCTTGCACATTATATTTAAGTTGTCACTAGTAGTTTTTCCGACATTGGAGTAGTGAAAATTTTCTTTGAACAATATTATGTATAGTTATGTATTTTGGAAACCAAAATGATTCTCTGCATCTCCCCGTGAGTTTTTTTTTTTCTTTTGCCCTACTTGTTTCCTAGATATTTTGTGCTTACCTTATGTTAAACAAGTTGCACTAGTGGACATGGACTAACAAGGTTAAGAACGGCTCTCTAACAACCAGATAATAAGGTGATGCAACATTCAGTTTATCATGCAACATTCACTTCAGCTATTTTAAATATTGAGGATATGTTATTAACGTCCCTAGGGTTTTTGTTTCTGACAGTCATTACTGAACTCTGCTTCTGGGTGGTGGCAATAACAACTTACCTGGAATTCACTTCGGACTTTAAAATCATAATTTGATGTACAAATAAATGGTCCTTTTAGCTTTTTGTAAATAGTCAAAGCCACCCAAGTGGGACATAAACTGATTCTGATATCATAACTTAAGGGAGGTCGGTTATTTGAAGGAGATGATGATAGTGATGCTATCAAAATCTCTATTAGTACGTGTATAATACATATTCCTGTTGTGCGGTCATGCTAAATTTTAGTTACAAATTATTTATTTATTTATTTATATTTTTTTAAATAATGAAACTGATCTTGAAATCGTCTCTTGCAGCTGGAACACGAGTTATGAGGATCTACTTTTATCTAGTGAACCTTTCCAACAGCCAATCGCTTTAGCTGTAAGTTCTCATAAACGCCATTTCCTAATAATTTCATTTTCGAGGTATTGCTGATGTTTTCTTACTCTCCCTCTCCGTTTTTATGTATGGTTTCTGCAGGAGATGGTGGATTTTCTAGTTGACATTTGGCATGAAGAAGGGCTTTACGACTAGAAATTGAGATAATATTTCCATTTTGTTTGGGAAGTTTTACAAAGAAATAAACTCGTGCATCATGCGGCCAATAACCCTATAAATGATTGAATCATAGTAGTATAGTTCATTCTATTGATCTTGATTGTATAAACCTGAATAGCTACACTGAAAATTTACTGAAGTTGTTTTAACTCTGTTGCCCCTAACACAGCCAAAACATAAAAAACAAGTTGTGTAATGTGTTATTGATACAATTAGTTTTTTTTTAAAATGTTTAGTAAGTAAAATTATCTGTATCGTCTTTTTCTTTTTTTTTTTGTGGCAATAAAAACGTCAGTATTGTTTGAGAAAAACAATGTTAATGTTCATTTACTCAAAAATTGTGGTCATGGTTCGAAATGTTATTCAAACAAGGATATTGAGGTCAATAGTCAAAGCTAAATTTGTAATTTGTTAGTTGTCATGGGATTCTCTATCTAAAAAACTCGTCATGCACTTGGTTTTTAAAAGAAAAAAGAAAGAAACAAAAGAAAAAAAAAGTTGGTTTTTAAAAGTCTAAGCCAATGAGGTTTGACAACAAAATTTTTAATAATTGTTTTTTGCCCTTTTATGGAAGATTTTTTTGTTAGGTTTTTCACAAAAAAAAAAAAATTGTCAATAAAATGACTATATTATCCTTCTAGTGTTGTTAAGCCTTGTTAACATAACATGGAGTAATTTCTGAAAATATGAAGGATAAAACTATATTTTAACAATTCTTCTAAGTAACTTTTATTTATTTATTTATTGAGAGGTCTTTTAGCCAAACAAAATATGTTTTTAATTTCTTGATCTTATCCATTTCATGATATGGGAATTCTAGGAAAAGAAGAGAAATATAGAAAGAAAAATCAGATAAGCTTCTTTGAATTTTCTCAGGCATCCATTTGTTCTTTTTCTAGGGAACGAGCCGGAGATGGCACGCCACAGATTGATTGTGTTGCTGAATTTGGCTTAAAAAAAAATAAAATTAGGTTTAGATTTTAAGGCAAATTCAACTCAAAGAAACTTGGAAAAATTACCAATAAATTTTATTTTTCCTTCCAAATTACCATCAAGTCCGATTAACATTTAATTTAGACTTCTCAAACGTAGAGCATCTTTATCCAAACTTTAAAAAATGGATATGTCAAATTTTTTTTGAAGACTTGGGTGGCAAATTGACATATGTCAATTTAACATGAAAAACTCTCTACCTGATATGTTAAATCTGTTATTATATTATTTTTAAAATTTAAACTCTTTTGAGGTCGTCCACAGGACAACCACTCAATCATCCTAGGACGACCACCTTGCATGCTTTAATTGGAGACAAAAGAAAAGAAAAAAAAAAGAAAGAAAATGTATCAAGGGGTCTTCCTGTCAAATTTGACAATGAGGGGTGATTCCAAAAGTTGCATCAACTTTTGATACATTAGGTAGAGTTAATACTTGATGTTAAAATATGATTATTAAAGTGTCATATTAAATTTAAAGTTTTGGGTGAAGGTGCTTTTATTTTTTGTATACCAACATGTGGCATGGTGATGCCGACGTATCAGCCGAGGTGCCACGTATCCTGGTAGTTGGGCCGAGGTTACCTAGGCAAGGCCGAGGTGATCTCCGAAGATATCGGAATCCGAGATAAGCGGATAGGGGACAAGAGTCCTAGAGTAAAAAGAAGACTTTGCTAGGATAAAGATAAAGCTCTTAGGGAGTTTATCTTTATCTCTTAAGGAGTCCAAAGTTGACATTGAATTGGAGTCCATAAAAGTCAAGCTTCTAGTGGGACTTGGATTGAGTAAACTATAAAAGGGAGGTACCCCCGTGGGTCTAAGGTACATAGTTTTATACTCAAGCTTGTGAGTTTAACACTTGATTATCTTTGAGAGATATACTGGCTTAATCGTCGAAGTGCCCCCGGGTGGAAGAGCCACCGCCGAAGCCTTTTCTTTCTGTTACAGGTTTGCTGAAGCCATCTATTCTGCCGGTGCTCTCCAGCTGATTACTAGGCGGGCAGTGTGGTCAGAAAATTACTCCTACAATTTGGCGCCGTCTGTGGGAATCTTAGAAGAATAGATGGCCAGTGACGGACAGAGGGACAACGATGGGGGCGACACTCTTGCTGGGAGTGGCAGACCGATTGATCCTGACTTTGAAGGAGACAACCACAACACAGAAACTCATGGCCAGGGCCACGGAGAGAAAGACGTCGGCCAAGAGGGCAACACTTCAAAGAAGACAAACCAAGGCAAGTACTATAACGAAGATAACCTTCAGATATGGAGGGATAGGTGCCTACGGAGGGATGAGGAAGTAAAAGACTTGGCAAACAAGTTGGCGGACCTACAGTCGGTCGTCAACTTCATGATGCAAAATAATGTCATGCAGCCACCATACCCGCTGCAGGATACACCGATGCCAGCAACCAATGCCCAGAAAGGAGGAAGAGGGATAATCCCTGAAGTCCCTCAGCACACCAGGAGCAGAAGGCACTCACACCGACCTTCCAGGGAAATCGGACGAGAGGAGCCAAGACAAGAAGAGTCCCGAAGGACACATCGAATAAAGGATCCAGGGCATAAAGAACATCGGCATGTTCAAGGGCAGGCACTCTGCTTTGACACAACCCATGGAGAAAGATCGAAACGGGCCCACCACGAGGCCGAAAGTAGTGTGCCAAAAAGATTGAAGTCCAGAGATAGCCGAGCTCCAGGTAGGAGTAAGGAAGACTTGAGGGACTACTTCAAAAGGAGGCAGCAGAATGTTGAAGCAGAGGTCACTTCCAAAGTTAAGCCGAGAACACCATTCTCGGTGGAACTGGACAAATTTGAAGCACCAAAGAGATTCAGTATGCCGAGGTTCCAAATTTATGATGGTAAGTCAGACCCCAACTTTCATGTTGGACTATACCTGAACTCAATGGCATTATACAGTGGGAACGAGCCGTTGCTCTGCAAAGTATTTCCCTCATCCTTCGGGGAAATTGCATCCGATTGGTTCCATAAGCTACCAAAGGAAAGCGTGAAGACATAGGAAGGCCTGGCCGAGATGTTTGTGGCCAGGTTTGTAACGAACAAACTACAGCCCTTAAAGGTCGACGCCCTGATGGCTTTAAGAATCACCAAGGAAGAAGGCCTTAGGGCCTACGCGAAGAGATACTACGAGGTGCTCAATCGAATACCCGAATGAAACCAAGAAGTGGCGGTCGTATCTTTCAAGAACGGCCTGAAAGATGGCTGTCCACTACGGAAGTCTTTGGTAAAAACATTGCCAAAAAGCATGGAAGAACTCATGGCGAGAATCGAGAAGTATGCCAGAGCCGAGGAAGATACGTCGGGAAACAAAGAGATAAAGCAAGAGAAGGGAAACGGCTCGCCAAAGCGAGGCCGAGGTACCAACGGGCCAACCAAACAAGAAACAGAATTGAAGGGTAAACAGGCAGTGACGACGGTGTTCCGAATCCCTATCCATAAAGTCCTGGACCAAATACGAAATCAACCCTATTTCAGGGCACCGGCAAGAGCACCAGGGGAATTTATGGGAAGAAACGTTGGTAGGCGCTGTGCTTACCACAATGAAGAAGGACACCCAACTCAGGGTTGCAGAGCCCTAAAAGCACACTTAGAAGACTTGGTAAGGCAAGGCCTTCTGAGGGACCTGTCTTATCCTGGTGAGGCAAGGCCATCTGAGAGACCTTGTCGATGAGGCCAGGACAAAGGAAGAACAGACAAGACTGCCTCAGGCACCAACAACTCCGCCTCCTCCAACACAACAACCTCAGGCAGGAGGACCTTGGGTAATTAATGTAATTCACTCGAAGGTCAATGAAAACGAAATTCGGGGGGAGACCCAAAAGGTAAAACACCTACAACATGTCTACCAAGTCGAGGAGAAGAGACATCGGGCAGAAGAGTGCCAGGGACCGGTAGTGTCCTTTACTGAAGCCAACCTTGAGATGGTACAACATCCGCACAACGATGCCTTGGTAGTATCCCCCCAGGTTGGGGAGTGCCAAGTGAAACACATCTTAATTGACCAAGGCAACTCTTGTGACATCATGTATGTTGGATGTTACAAGGAGCTGGGCCTTCACCCTGACGACTTGGAACAATCCAGCAACCCTATGGTCGGCTTCAATGGAACGCCGACATGGCCACTGGGCACAGCAAGCGTGGAAGTACAAGCTGGTACTAAAAAGATCAAGACAGAATTTATAGTGATTGACACACCCTCGCCATATAACATCATCTTGGGAAGACCATGGTTGCATGCAATGGGGGCAGTTCCCTCAACACTGCATCAACTACTACGGTTCCCAACAGAGCATGGGATTGAAGAAGTCAGAGGAGATCAACTGCAAGCAAAAACTTGCTCCATGGCAGCAATGAAGACTACTTGCAGCATTCGAAAGCCAAAAGAGGTAGAGATTGAAGACGAGGACATGGAGGTCCTAGAAGATGTCGGCAAGGAGCCGACCGAAAAAAATGAAGAGACACTAAAGAAAATCCTTGTCCAGGAGGGCGACGAAGAACGCTTCTTTCTTCTCGGCTCAGGCTTAGCCGAAGAAGAGGAAAGAGAACTGGAAGATTTTTTAAGAGCCAACATTGAGGTGTTCGCCTGGACACCTTACGAGATGCCTGGAATTGACCCCGAGGTCACTTGCCACGGACTGAATGTCGACAGGTCGGCAAAACCTGTGATTCAACGAGCCAGAAGACTGACGTTGATGCATGTCGAAGCAGTAGAAGAAGAAGTAGACAAACTTCTGGAGGCCAGGGCCATTCGAGAAGTTCACTACCCGACATGGCTGTCCAACACAGTAGTAGTGAAGAAGAAGAATGGCAAATGGAGGGTTTGTGTAGACTTTACCAGCCTCAACAAAGCCTGCCCTAAAGACAGCTTTCCTCTGTCCAAGATTGACCAGCTAGTAGATGCAACTTCAGGGCATGAAAGGATGAGTTTTTTGGATGCATACAGAGGGTACCACCAGATTGCCATGTACCCTCTAGACGAGGAGAAAATCGCGTTCATCACCCCTAAAGGACTATACTGTTACAAGGTAATGCCTTTTGGGTTGAAAAACGCAGGAGCAACTTACCAAAGGTTAGTAACAAAAATGTTCAAGCACCTGATTGGTAAAACGGTAGAAGCCTACATCGATGACATGGTCGTGAAGACCAAGGAATCTAAGGGTCATCTTGCCGACCTAAAAGAGATCTTTGATATACTCAAAACATATCGGCTTTGACT